GAAGAATGCGGTTCTGTCAGGTCATGTTTATCTTATGTAGTTATGTTTATTGTGTTTTTCTGTCTTCTAGTGGCAAAGAAGGAAATATTACAGATTATGAACAAAACTATTTCAAAACCTCGAGCATCCAGAAAAGAAAACGGACCAGTTGTAGGTAATACATTAAAATCACTACTCATTTCATGATAAGATAAATATTAATATTTGAAAGCATATTACTAGTTGTAAAATGTTTTAATCCCTATGCAAAATGAAAATATTTTGAATACTTTAAAGTACTTTGAATTTGGAGGGGACATTCTTAGACATTAGAACTTTCGATATTTTAGTCAAGTAACAAACACTTTTTCTGTTTCATACTGAAATAGGTCAAAAAAAGAAACTCTGGGAGTGACCACGCCCTGTTTTAGGTTCATATATGTATTGGAATTATTTCTAATTTTGTCTGTATTTCAGAAACTGTTCAGGTTCCATTATCAAAACGATCAAAGTTTGTTGGACCAGGTGGATATCATTTAAAAAAACTTCAGGCTGAAACAGGTAAGAGTTGTATGAAGTTTGGCGTTTTTTTATTAAATGCTGGACCATGTAAGTGTGCCATTTTACCTCTACTCTGTTGCTTCAGAACTCAACGTTTGAGAAATGAAGAGAAAGACCAGGAAAAAAGGATATGACATGTCTTTACTGTAAACATTCTGCATGTCTCTTAATAAATCAGCGAATGGTCATCTTTAACTATATTCAAGAAAGATGATCAACAATGCATCAAATTTTTTGCAACACTAAACACCTAGAATAATTTTTAGTTTTCACTTTAGAAGAGTTATGCTTAATTATCTTTACTGTTACTTTTGCTACTTTCACTCAGATTTATTTAGACTCTTATTTAAAGAGTATATTAGAAATAGTATGTTTTGATTTTTTTTTTCTGGAAGCAATTTTTGGGTTACCTGGTACTTACAAGCTTTGAGGTTATTGAAGGAGGGTGCGAAGCAGAGCTGCCTTAGCCAGTTCTTGAGATTGAGGATGGAGAAAGGAAACTCACATGGTTTTGTCCCTCACCCACCTGTTCACCACTCTAAAGGGTTAGAGGGAGACAGGAAAAAGGTGAGAAAAGGGTTCTAGAATAGGTTCTACCCATAATTAAGAGAAGAAAGCTAGACTCTCCAAAATTAGAATTGATTGTAGGTTCCCAGCAATTGGGCCATTGGTTCACTGGTGTGTCCCCAGGGCCTAGGACAATGCTAAATACAAAGCTGATGTGTAGTGTGTATTTGTTGGTGAATGAATCCCTCATTCCCAGCTGTCTGCAGCAGCAATTAAACACAGCACAGTTCTGCTCAGCTGCTTGCAGAGCCCTCTCCTGCTCTCACCTCTACTTTTCAGAACTGGTCTCAACTGGAACAGTCAAGTTAACTTCAGTATGTTAAATTTATCTTTTTAAAAGGAGTAAGTATTAGTCAGGTGGATGAAGAAACATTTTCTGTATTTGCACCAACACCCAGTGCTATGCATGAAGCAAGAGACTTCATCACCGAAATCTGCAAAGATGATGTAAGTGTAGATCTTATGATAGTTACTTTTTTCTACTTCTTGTTGCTGTTTTCTTTATGAACCTTATGGCTTATTTTGCACTTACAGCAGGAGCACCAGTTAGAATTTGGAGCAGTGTATACCGCCACAATAACTGAAATCAGGTAATTGAAAAGAATAATATATCTTGTTGCTTTTTGGAGCTGTGCTGTCACAGTGGTTAAGAGCTCAGCTGCTAACCAAAATGTCAGCAGTTTGAATCCTATGGGGCAGTTCTGCTCTGTCCTATAGAGTCGCTATGAGTCAAAATCAACTCGACGGCAACAGGTTTGGGTTTTTTTGGTTTTTAAAAGGTTTATATTACAAGGCCAGGTGGACTTAACATATTTATTTTCTTTGAAATTGCAAGGTGTTTAGACTGTATGTCAATTATCGTACGATCATTATTTTTTTTTAAGGTAGAATATATTTTAGCTCCTACATCAGCTTGTAAATTTTCAGTAA